CGCTGGAAGAGAGAGCAGCGAGATCAATCCTGAACTCCAGGCATCAAATCCAGGTCGAAGGCCACTTCCGTTTTAAAGTCTTGGCATGCTTTTTCGGATCCAAGGTCTTATGGCCGGTGGCTTGGCTTTAAGAGTGGCCTTTCCACCTTCTAGGAGAGGGGGGGAAAGCCTATGAAAATGGGGGGCGGACCCCACACCCGCACACCCATCTGGACATGGGGAAGGGAGTGTGGGAATCCCAGCAGGGGTGAACTGGGAACACAAGAGGTAGAGATTGGAACCAAGGCCAGAAGGCCCCCCACCCTCATTCAAACAGGGAATATACACGGTACGGGGAGAGGAGACGAGGCAACACCAGAGATATTTCATGCTGCCAGTTTGCAAGAGCCTGGCAGGGTGGCTGAGGACAAGATTATTTTGAGAGGGCTCCTTCCTGGGGGTCGCCACGAGAGGTGATGTGATGTGACTAAGAACCGCCACCAAGACAGGCAGGGCCACACACACAAGTTCGTTATCTGGCCTGGAAATGCCCATCCACACGGGGGGAGGGATATGTGTGAAAAACCACTTCCGCTCAAGTCCACTGACCGAAGGAGAGCTGACCGGTCAATCAGCTGTCCGGTTGGGCCCCTGGAACTCCGGACCCCTCAGCCTGCCGGCCAGGGCGTGTTCCTCTCTCTCCCACCCTCCCTGCCCAAACATCTTTCGAGCCAACTTCCCGACTTCTGACCCTGATCCCGGATTATCTCTGTTTACGGCCACACGCTCTCCGCCTCTGACCACACGCGGCTGCCCGCTGACCTAGTTCCCGGCTTCTCCTAGTCTCTGCCGTGACCCTGGCCAGAGAGCCGGAGTTCAGGTTCCTTGTTCCAACTCCTCTCCACATTCAGAGAAGACGAGAATTAAACCACTTCGCGGGCGAGCCTTTCTGGGGAAAGGCCACCTTGTAAAGGGATCCCGTTCAGGGTTAAGACTCAAACCTCTTGTCAAACAACGGGAGTGTTTTGGAACCCGATCCAATGCTGCCTTTCTCCACCTGGCATGCTTCACAACGTCTGTTCCCATCATCCTTGGGTTTCATGCGAGTCCTCCCAACAACAGGCAAACGGCCGTTATTAAGATCTGCTAACAAGCTTTCAAATTTCCCTTCCTCCCCACCCCACCTCAGCAGGTACATCGGTATTGACCTGGTGAGACTACAGAGAGCCCGTGTGGTGTAGCAGGGGGCCTCCTTGAGGACTGGAAAGCTGTGAAATCGTGAGACCAGCATTGTGAAAAAGTTACTTTGAACAACTTCCAGAATACCCCCAGCTAGTACAGCTCCTGGCCATGCCAAGGGGAGATTTCGGGAAGATCTCGTCCCATAGCATGAACCACTGGAGAGTCTAGGGGGGGGGACTCAGTCTTGGGAGGGGGGCAGTAGGGCTCTACAGCAGGGGCCCCCACTTGCCAGGGAGGTGAGAGGGAGCCGGGGTGATTTAGGCTAGGGATCCCACCCTAAATACACACCGACTGAGCCTCCACATCCAGGCAATGTTTATCCCAAGAAACACTAAAATCTTGATTAAAAGGAATAGAAAACCTCAAGCGAGCACGACTTTCTTTGGAGTAAGCCCGCCTGGGCCTGTGGTGTTAAACAGTGATGTTTTTGGACGACACCCCCACCCCACCCTGAAATGACGCAGGTCAGGAGGATCCTGGGAGCGATACACCGAAAGAGCAGCCCCCCCCACAAACGTGCGGTCCTTTGCCCGCTGAGACCTTGTTGAAGCAGCCCCTATTCCTGCCACACAGAGACCATCCCCCTCACCTGGCCCTACTGCACGGATTAGGGGGATCGTGGCCTCGAACCTGGGGCTCTATGCTTGGAGCCCCCAGCCCTTCTTACACCAGCCGCCTTAGCCGACTGGCCAACCTGGGCTGTCCCCTCTGAGAGGCTCCCCCTTCCCGAGGGATCAGGCAGAGAGCACCCTTCCTTCCTTTCCGAGAGAGAGAGATCTCTCCGGTTCAGGACACCAAGGACACGATCCAGACCCCTTTCACAAGCAAAGAAGCTCTGCCACGGTGGCGTCAAATTTTACTCTTGCTTACGTCCACCTGACGTCCAATGAAGAAAACACAGCTCCCTGTGAGCCCAAAACACAACAAGGGAGAAAAGATGGCCAGAGGGAAGCAAAAACAGTCGTCAGAACAACTTTATGAGGTTTTTTTTCTCATAGCCTCAACTGCAAACACATCAGACTCTAGAGGTGGACCTGCCTAAATATATATTTCACAAATACTGTACATAGACATTGCAATATTCAGCAATTGCAGTCTAAAGAGGACAAACCAGCCTGTCTGGAGGACAAAAATCGGTCAGCGGCTAGAAAGGAGGTCCCCTCCTCATGTGTAGCTCAGTGGCTTCATTATCTGGCTGTGGAGCCAGGGGTTCAGAGTTCGAATCCCCAACTGTGGCTCTTTGACAGGGGCTGGACTGGATGCTCCAGTGGGTCCCCTTTTAAAGCCCTGTATTTCTGAGATTATTCTAAGATTATTATTCCTTGACAGGGTCCAGAAATTCGGTCACACCAAAGGCCAGGTCAGTAAACAGGAAGAGAGCCGACCGGCCAGACACAGCCTGGCTCTAATTACGTTAATGAGCCGCAGGAAAAGCAACGGAAGAGAAGATGAATCACCAAGCCTGTCTCTTCAAGCTTGGAAAGGCAATTTAGCATCTGCAGAGGCTGTACTCACCGTAGGCCTTCTTGATTCCCTGAGGTTGCCTCCTCGCCACGTTTACACTTGATCCTGCGCGGCTGGTGGAGCAGAGAGGGCACGGTTTAAGCAACCAAAGTCTCTAGTCCACTTTAATCTTACTTTTTAGTTTTTTCTTTTTTAAATGAACCAAGCCCAATCAAAAGAAAAAAATTGCCCAGTTAAGGAACATCACACCCAGCTAGAGAGGAAGAATAACTTCATTCTACTTAAAGCTATGTTTTCAGTGTGCGATTCTAGAGGAACGTGCTTCCAGAACAGGTGTGTCTGCTTTAAAAAAAGAAAACACACAAGAACAGGGCCAGAAACTACCCAGCCAAACTCAGGATAAATCATCTCTTTTCTCCGTCCTGATCAAGGACAGGTTTCTTGGCCCTTAAATATTTTTATACTCTCACAGATCTATACAACCATTTTGATAAAGGTGGAGAGATCTTGACATAGTCGCACAAGGCTGTCAAAAAGACTCAAAACACAAACTGTGTATACCCTTGACTATCTGTTGTGAAAGATTACTTTAAAAAATTCAGCCGTGAAATTTTGGCGGTTTGTTTACTCCCCTCTCGACATAGCTTTTAATTATTCAAGTCAATCCAAAGGGCTAACGTTCCCAAGGCAGCGAAGTTAATAAACTTTAACAAGTTTCTAAGTTTCGACACAGCCCCCCCCAAAAAGCCAGCTCCGCAGATATAAAGCACTCTCACAGGCGGATAAACCCAAAGGAGAACATTGGAAAATTAAGATGCTTGTCATTTGGACTTCAAAATAAATTTGGACTTCTCAGTTTCCACCAATTTCTTTCCTGTCGCCCAACAGTTAGGAGACATGGATGGGCTTGTTCCAAACACAGGGAAGAAAACGTTCCCCAAAAACTGGAGTGGCGAGTTCGAAACCTGCCGATTCCACGCCCTCCTTGCAGAGTAGCTTCGTCCCTGCCAGTTCCTTTGCTCCACCTTTATGCTGCTCCATAAGAGAGGAAAACGTAATTAAGGGCCAAGAAGCCTGTCCCCCCTTCCCCCCCCTCAAAAAAAAGACCCCACTTGAGTAGGGAAGCCCCCCACCTACGATCCCTGTTGACTCAGTAGCTTCTCCCTCTCTCTCCCCCCCTCACACCCCAAAAGGGGCAGAAACACAATATCTAGGGCAGGCACAGAAGGGGGGGGTCAACCCTCAGCCCCACTTTGACAGACCCCCCCCCAAAAAAACTCCACTCCTGGTCTGACTCCCTGACCCTCAGCCCATCTCCCCCCCTCCCCTTTTGAAGACTAGGGGGGGCAACTTGAAAGAGAGGGGGTTTAATGAGGCTTGCCCTCTCCCCCAATTAATAAGGCTTCTCAATCTCCCCCCCCACCGAATATTTCCCCCTCCTAACATCTCTCCCCCTAAGCGAGGTGGGGACTGTGGGGTGGGGGAGGGCTATGACTCCCCCCCAAAGGCCCCCTCCCTCTGGACAGAAACGGGGGGGGGGCTGTCCCAAATGGGGGGGCAGGACAAGGGGGGACCCCCCTCCCCTGCCCTG